GACATCATTATATTTAAAAGGAGTTTTTAATACTATGCTAGTTGCTGAACTTAACAGCCTCTGAACTGAAAATCACTTTGACACAAATTGTACTGCTTTCATTTTGATATTCCATCCACATCTGTCCAATGATGAATGACTATTAACTCCTCAAAACAAGATAATCAAATAGAAATGTGTTAAAATGTTGGTGGAAACTGTTCTGGGACTACATTTAATCAATACCACAGCTGTTGTCCAGACAAGGGTGATTGCTGGTGAATTGATATTGAACCTAAATTAGGTCTGATTGCTCTAATTATCTTTTAAAAGGGCATTGTGCTTATAGTCTGTCTGCTTTTAGATGTTGAGTCAGAGTAACATTCTGGCCTTTGCCTTAACTTGGTCAATCTCATTTAAGCTCTTCAGTTTTGTTTCTCACAATGAAAGGTCTCATTTTATATTGGCTAAACATAAAAGTCCAAACATTTCCTTTCACATCCAGCAATGCATTCTTATTTTACAAGCATGCAGTGTTGTGCAGAAGTATTTATGTTGCTTGAATGTTTTCACTTTTTACGAAGGTTTTTGTTGAAATTGTATGTAATAGTGAAACATAAAAAACCCGTTTTTAAACATTTTGAAATGTGTCATTGTCAATAGGAGGTAAAATTGTGTTAGCGTTGTCCTCTAGCTTACGTTTCTGCCTATCCACACTTCACAGCTGCAACCAAAAAATGAAGCAATCTCCATCTACCTCTGGATCTCATACTCTGTCTGCCTTTCTGTTGTTGGTTTATTGTCTTTGTCTCCTGCTCTTTCATATCTCACTTTGCCTCCTCTGTCACTCAGTTTATCAAATAAGTTTCTCTCTACTGTCACACTCCCACCTTTCTTTTTCACCCTTCACACAGGCTCACACATGCACACACACACACACACACACTCTTGTTCCTTTAGAGAATATGAGGAGGTGTTTGCTGTTCCATATGGCCCGTCAGCTTACAGCGGTGAAAGTGTGGGTGGTGCGTTGCATTCTAACACACAATGTTAAGAAGGCTAATCATATGTGAAATGCTGGTGAAAACTGGCTGTGAAAAAAGCCAATTAGAAAATGCCTTTGAACTTTTGATTTATCATGAAGCTGTAAATAATTCAAGCAGAGTGTATTTTGTTGATAACACTCACTAGGATTTATATATATATATATATATATATATATATATATATATATATATATATATATAAAGATTCACACTGAGGTATTTTCAGGAAAAAAGGTAGGTAGTGATAACTATAAATCAAGTTATGACTAAAGCTGAAACAAGGAATATATATTAAAAACAAATAAAATGAGATGCAACAACTGTTTAAAAGATCTATAGAAAAATGTTGAAATTTGTGAGTACTTAAAATGCAGTTCATTATTTGACCATAAATTAGCCATTTTAATGAAGATTAAGATGTCTAATTAAGCAAACTGCTCTCTCAGGCCCCTTTAACCAAAAAGGTTAACAGGGTTGTAACTTTTAGAACATAATCCAGGAGTGGAAAGAGCAAAATTTGTCCATAAACCAGCTGTAACAATATGGTCCAGGCCCAAGTTTCAGACTGAGAAGTACAAAAAAATCCTAAGAGTTCTCCATGAGCCAAGGACAGAGAGCCTTTACAAATACCTGGAATTAGGAAAACATCTTCCACTTGTTGCATTTTTTAAAGTCTCCAAAGCTCTTTACACTATCATTGATCCATCCATGCACAGATTCACACACATAGTGGTAATCTACACTGTAGCTACAGTCATCACCAATGAATACTAATGGGAAAAGACTCCACGCCTGAAAAAAATAACTAAAACACCACTTTGGAGTTTGTTAAAAAATCCTGGAGTTCATTAGAACAAGTCGGTGGCCCACTGGGAGAATACGGTCTGGTTATATACGAGACCAGTATCAACCACTTTGGATGTTTTGCAAGCACTGTATTTAGGGTATCGGCATCGAACATCGCCACAAAAGCGCCAAACATGTGAACCTCATTGTAACATTATGAGAGACGTGTTCTTCAGCAGCTGGTACTGGCAGACTTTTACATTGTTTCTTTTCTGATTAGTGGTTACATTGTGTTCTTCCACCTGCATTCAAGATAAGCAAACTGTTATCTGTGATGCTCAGTAAGTAGGTTGTGTTTGTGGTGATAGAGGTGTTGGAAAACACACCATTGTACAGTGAGTGACGGCACCATGGGAAATAGTTTATAATTCTGTTTGCAGGCATTTTTCCTGTGTCTGTTTTTAGTGTTCCCCTGGGTTTTGCTCCTATATATGGTGTCTGCTTGGTGATACTAAATGTGTCCACTTTCTTTGTTTTATCCTGAAGAATAAAACAAGGGACCTGAAGAATAATGTCACATCATGCATGGAGAAAATAATCTCTGAGCTGTGCTGATGCTCTGACAACATCCTTAGGTTTATAGCCGAGTTCAGTCGGGTCATGAATAATAGAGAAAGGTCACATTTTTTATGGATTTGTGCTCCACATGACCACAGCACCATCAATAGGGAATTCTGAGCAACTATTTAGTACAAGTGGTGAAGTATGTATTTGTATGAGGTGTTGCTGTGACTGAAGGTGGAGTTAAGATGAACATTTTAATGTTAAAAACAGTCACCATCTTTCATCTTTAAATGCCATTAAATACTTTGTAAAAAAAATAAGGTGGTTTTGTTTGTGCTGATTGCATAATATGCTATATTTTTTCAAATAAAACTGGAATGTGATTGAAAAATAATACTCAGAAGACTGTGGGTGGTCTTGGTATTTGGCCGATATTTGACTATTTGACATAAACACTGCAAATGTATAGATAAAGTCAGATCAGGTTTATTCTGTTCTACTTGTACACAGACGTGAATAATCTCCCCACTCATTTATAACTGGAGGCTTTATTTTATGTGTCTAACCAAAGTACACAGATAGTAAACACTTCTGCTGCGTCCTCAGTGATCTGAGAGGCTTTACTATAATCCCTCTTCTTAATAAGACATTTAATTTCCATCACTATTGATCGATTCAAAAGAAGCCGTTGAGCGGGTCTTAATCAGTCACTTCCCGTCTGCTGTGGTTTCAAAAGGCGGGTCACAGTGACTTTAAATGCATCCTTTTAACGTATGGCACTGTGTGATGTGGGGAGATGTAATTTTGCAGGAGTGTCAGAAGCGACCAAGGGTGAGAGCCGTGTCCCTCAGTTGACACCGGGTAAACAGTCACTTAGCGTGCATGTCCCTGTCCGCCCTCATAACACTGCTGGAGACTGATGATCTTACTTGTGTAATTGCTCTGACATCTCACTGTGACAGATTGTGTGCAGAGCAGTAATGCGAAATGGCCGCAGCACTAGTCAAGGATGGAAAACAGAACATTAGAAATATTCAGCCACGCATGGAAAATTGGTTTCTTCAGCTGTATTACAACCAAAATCTGAAGTTGCGTTTTATTTTTGAGGATAAGAAAAAACGCAATCATAACTCAGTACTGCACACGTACCTACAGCTATCCTTTGAACTTGATTTGCATAATTTTAATTAAATGTTCACTCTAATTTATGATATCAGGATTTCATGTTGAAAATTTAAAGGGGCATTTCCCTTTTTAAAATATAGCCAACAGCAGTGTTATCTTGTCTACCAGGGAAAAGAATATTTTACAACTTTATCTCCATTTGCATCAGTAGATTTACTAGGGCTTTTGCTTGGTGTTGACTTTCCTAATCCGCTCAAGAGACATTTGAGAACTGATAGGAGTATCTTATTTTGTGACATGACAGTCTAGTCAGATTACACACTTTTGGAAATCCACCACCGACCTGTCAAAATAGACAATTTCTTTTATAGTTACCTTCAATAAAAGCAGCTTAAGTAGGTTAAAGTTCAAATTTGAGGAAGTCAGGCTACATGCAAACTATGTTGTAATTTACAATAATCAGTTGCTATAGTCGTTAATAATTCATTACTGAAAAGTTACTGAAAATTTCATTTCAGTAGCTAAATTCATAAAACGAAGCAATTTTATAGATCGTTTACAAAGATTGTTTCCAAACCTTTGTTATGATTATTACACTTACATTTTTAAATGGTTTGTTCCAGCAAACCATTTAAAAACTTATAGACATACGGGCTTAATAAAAACTGTTTCACACCTGCTTAAAGGTTATTTATTAGTCACTTTTAATCTGACAAATAATCCTCGTATGAAGAGATAATATATTGAACATGACTGTATAAATTTGAGATACAAAAAATGAATTATTGCTTCCTTATTTCCTGACTTATTTTTTGCAGTCTTGAGAGGTACATGAGTGAATCTAATGTCATGTAGTTAAAGTTTTATTATTAAAGTGAGTACAGTAAGGAGCACATCTGTATGTCTGTAAATAGTCTAAACTGGGCTGTTAGAAGCACACTCCAGGCGTGATTGGAGTGAAAAGAGGGATAAATATGTGAAAAATCACCATATGCAAACTACAAAATACGGCGGTAGAATCTGTGATAGTCTGAGTGTTTGTGTTTTCCAAAAGCTTTGACAACCTTATTAGAGTGCATGTCTTAAAGGTGGTTGATACTCATCATCTGTGATCACAACATATGCAGATAAATCCTGCAGTGTATGAGGACAGAAAAATACAAACCAAATCAAAACAAGAGGATTAGAGAAGATGTAACCTGTCTTCTGATTCACCTCAGTGATTTTATGTGTTGTTTTTCACTGAACCATGTAGTGTTAATAGAAACAAGGTAGTTTCAAACCGTATCCCATCTTGAGATATCCATCATGTAACTCAGCAGAACTCCTTGCCTCCAGGAGCCATTGACCTCAGTCACCAGCATCTTACCTTTTATAATGACAGCATGCAGACACACTCCAGTGCACACACTCCATTTTTCTAACTGTCTTGCATATACACACCAGATCCGCCATACTGCTCTGACAGACACACTGACCATGTGTCTGTTTCCCCTCCAGGTGACCATTCTGATCATCCTGGCCTTGGCCTTCCTCGCCTGCATCGTGTTCCTGGTGGTTTATAAAGCTTTCACTTACGACCACGCCTGCCCAGATGGATTCATTTATAAGGCAAGAGCTTTGAGTAATCTCTCAAATGTTAGGCATTTTGAGGTGAAACATGTAAAGAAAGAGAAAAATAGAAGCAACACCACATGTTTGTCACAGTGACTGCTGTTTACTCACTGTTAACTTGTTAAACGTCAAGGATAAAAACTGTTTTCATATTCTGGTGAGAAACCGCCTTCCATCAAGTTCTTTTCTTTTTCTCCTCTACATTGTATAAACTGTAATATCATTATTATTGCTCCCCAAAAGACTATGGTGAAAACTATACATTTGTGAGTGGACATGAGGACATGAGGTATATCAAACACTCAGGTCTAAAAACAAGCTTCATAGGAAGGTAGCAGAATTATCCAGGCAGACCAAAGGATACATCAAACCAGTGTACACCATCAATAAAACTTACTACAGAATCAAGATATGATCATTTTCTTCTTTGTTGAAGCGTACCTTAAAAGTCACTTAAGCTATGGTAATTTGTCAAGCTGTACTCGTAGCTAGAAGTGTTCCTGAGCAAAGCCCTCAATTCTGTGCCCTTGACTTTCGCCATCTTTCCTTTGTCACCTATCTAAATAAGGAAAAAAGGGTGAGTTCAGTCCCTTATGAGAGCAGATAAAAAAGCTACTCCTGACCTACTTTTGTATTCAGAGGTTAAGTTACAGGAGGAGACTCATGGTTTCTAGACAACCAGAGACTTTCTTATGACCTGTGTAATCAGGTGTAATTTACTAAACAGCCACAGACTATTAAATCTGCAGCCAGAAGTTATTAGCTATAGCTATTAAGGAGTGAATAGAGAAATTGTAGCCCTGTAGCTGTTTTATAATAATCAGCATAAAATGCTGGATTTCCATAAGGCTGAGGTCAAAAGAAAATAGCTCTCAGATGCAGCACTGTCCAACGATTTGTTGCAGTAAAAACTGTTATTTTATGGTATATGCAGAACCAAGTTACTGTGCCATGGAGGAGGTCACCTTCCAAGTCCCTCAATATATCCTGGCTTTAATGTAGAAAACATGAAATTTTAGTCCTTTGTTAGATTAAAGGACTGAAGGAAATGTGCAGATAAGATGTTAACAGTTCATCTTTTTGTTTGTTTTGGGCTTAGTAGCTGTACACTACATCAACTTTTTTCATATTTATTTCAGCTAGAGACACACAAAAGTTTATCCCAGTGCCACTCTAGGCAGCCTTAGAGGATTGCCCTTACTATAGTAATGGTAAATCTGTTGAAATGACGTTAGAATTGATGGAGGCATTGGTCCAAATTAGGTGCAAGGAAGAAATACTTTGATTTAATGCCTAAATCTGCTTCTTCTTCTCTCAGCATAAGCGGTGCATCCCTGCATCACTTGAGGCCTACTATGCTGCTCAAGACGCCAACTCACGGGGTCGTTTCTACACAGTGATCAGCCACTACAGCATGGCCAAGCAGACCACCTCGCACTCTGTCTCCCCCTGGCTGCCCGGAGGGGCAGCAGGCCACGAAGCTAAACCTCCGAGTGGCGAGGGCCACTGAGTTCGCTGAACCAGTGGTTGCCAGATGTGAACAGAATCACATGAACATAAACTTAATAAAAATGAAATAAAAATGAAGGTAGATTAGTATGCAGAGACACAGACAAGTTGGTAAATATTTAGAACCGTAGACAAAAGAAACAACAAATATAGAGTAAAATCCTGCATGCAGACATTGATTCAGCGTAGATTTTAGGTCATTTTTGGTCATTGCAGCAGCAGTGCTTGAACACAAGCTAACAGAACTTCTCTTTGTTCTTGAAGGTATTTCCTTTCTTGTCTAAACGGAGTGCTGGGGAGTTCAGTTCCCTCTAAGTTAAGCTCTGTGGACATGCAGGGACATGAACACGCGCTAAGACATAACCTGAACATGATGTCTGCCCACCTGTATGCTCACTTTCATTAGGAATTAACTTTGAGATCCAGTTAAAGTTCATACATGCACATGCTGCCCACTCATTGCTCTTTTTACTCTTTCCTCTAATTTATTACTCTGTTTCATTTTTACTCTAATTTATAAATGTTTTGTAAGTGATTTCCATACTTTGTATAAAGCCACCAGTTACAGCAACATGTCATGTTCCTTTAGTGTAGATTCTCTCTAACTCTCGTTTCTCAAGTGTTTTGAAGTATTACTGTTGGTACATATAATTCCTGTTTTCTTTATTTTTTAAGTTGTATTTAACAAACATTTCTTGCCCACATCTCTGGCTTTGCATTTGGAGAAAATCTCTTCAGCCTATCAGCCACATTCATATCTGCTCCAGTTGAAGATCATTTATGCGTCTATTGTTGATGTTTGATAACCTGTACACTAAAATCATAATTTTCAGTGTTCTGTGCCATAAACCCAGCCATCCCCTAAAGCGTACATACATTTTGCATTGAGCCTAGCTTTGTGTGTATACATCGTAGTAACAGGATATACTTTCTGATTAGATCTCTGAACATTTTGCCTCTGCTGCAAGGCTTGTAGTTTTCTGAAACATGATGTTAATGTTTTAAAAATGAGATGTGCTGTACATAACTGTCTCTCACCAAGACTCTTCTGCTGTGTACCGTTATCTTCATAGATGGGCTTCAACTGCAGCTACATTTTATTTGTGTAACACTTCTGTTCCCCACAATTTGTAACGTTGGATATGTTGTCAAGAGCACTCCAGTGAGATATTGTGATGTCGTTAGATGTGCTGATACCTGACGTAATTTCTCAGTGTGCAACCTTGTCCCTGCTCTCTTTGTTTGAATTGAGAATAAAACAAGCTGTGACCTGTGTTGAGCGTCTGTCAGTCCTATTTAATGTTTGCCTCTAATGTAGCTCCAAGGCAGTTCAAGGTGATCAGCAGTGGCTGTTTTTTTATTATTATTTTGCTACATTCAAATTAAATTCCTCCTACGTGTGTTCTTTCCACAATAATGAGGATTTGCGACTGACAACACAGAGAGAACAAGGAAAATACCTGTGTGTTTAATGTCCGCTGGATGTTTTATTCATCCACACAATTCTCTGGGAACACAAGATAAGGCCTCCTTTTTTTTTTTACTTCTTTCTTAATTAGACAGGTGAAGCCATCAGTTTTGTGTTACTTTCACTGCAGTAAAGCAGCAGGAAATTCAAAAGCTTTTATAAAGAAAAGCAAATACAGGAAGGACAGATTCCATTCTCAGCTTAGCATATTTTAAACACTATCATCAATAAGCATGAGTAGTGAGGACGTGTTTTCTCCATTTTTGTTTGGGCCATAAAATAAACATAGCATTTCTTTGTTAAAAGTCCATCTTTATTTGGGGTTGGCTAATATTAAAATTGTCTATGAAAGTGAATTTTAAGTGTTCTTTTCTATAAGTAAGGAAAAAGACTCACACACATAAACCTTTGATAGAGATATTCTAAACCATTAAACTTTCTCTTGCTTTTCAGCAACAGCAAAAAAAAATCAGTTTTGCCCTTTTTTCCTCTAATATTCACAGGCTAACAACCACGCAGGCGACCAAACAAGCCCGACTCTGTTTCTTGATAAATTGGACAGATGGTTGCTTATGCAGACCTTACAACAACACACTGACTTGTGATTTGAGGAGACCAGGTGAAGAAAAACAGCTGGTGATTTCATTTATGCAAAACAAGGTAAATAGCAGTTTTTATCCCTTCTTTTGATGGAAAGGATGGCAACACGTATATTAAAAATATAAATGATGTTACCATAAACATTACTCAACTCTCCCAGTGACTAAATGCTTGATGAGTATAGTGCTACATTTGCATGATTACCCTCAGTATTTGAACGTATATAAATATTTTCTAGCAAACGTTCGTTTTGCTCCGAAGGAGGACTTTAAAAGTAACACAGACTCCAAACAAGCCACACACATATGGCCATCAGTGTGGTCAACACCTCCATCTCTCTCCTCAGCTGTCTCCCCTGCTGTCAGAGAAAAGGCTGCCTCTCAGCAGTCTGCCCCCCCGAGGGGAAGGAGGAAAAGCAGGGAGGAGGAAAGAGGAGAGAAATAGCAGCAGACACCCACTGGGAATTAGAGGCATGGGGAGGGGGAGCCAGGTAAATGCTGTGGCGGTGGATTCATCAAAGCAACGCTACACCTGCCACATGCGTATGGTTTGTTATTCAGCCCCAGTTTGAGCTTTTATACCTCCACATCAAATGTTCACACTATGAGTGGGGGATGGGTGGACACACAGGGTTTCACCTCAGGGCTATGATGCACTCCTTTTACTACATCCTGCATAATTTTGGATATGCAGGATACAGTAAAAGGTTTACTCACTGAACCAAAGAGAAATGTGGCTTTGTTTATCTTTCCGTTTTATTGGTAATTCTTACAACTATAGGTTTGAGACTCCAGCGCTTACAAAATCAATTGTTGTTATATAAATTGTTAACGTTACAATTCAACTTCCATAATAAACAAATGTGTTCAGGGTAAAATCTGAAGAATAAAAACAAGTACAATGACCTAGTTCAACAAAAGCCTTAATCTCATGTTTTGTTAAATCTCTTGTTGATTCATTTTCTGTATTCTGTCAATTTTGTCAAGTTTATCTGTATTCCATGTCTGCACTTCATATAGGGAGGAAATCCCTTCAAGAGATGTTTTTCCCCCTTAATTTCAGTTTTTATAACCGACATAAAATGTTTTTTTGTTTTTTTTAACCACGAAAATGACAACTCCAGTTGAACAAATATAATTGCAACATTAAGAAATGATGCAGAAAAATGAAAACAGAACCATAATAATATTTTGAAGTTTCAAGCTTGAGACTGGCTCTCTGTGGGCTAGGGGGCATCCCTATAGGATACCACGCCTCATTTTCGACCGATCTTATTCACACCACAGACAGATGCTATCCTGCAGCAAGCAGTGGGAGGCAAAAGATAACAAGTCAGGTTGTGTTTAATTTTTAAGCTTAATAGTTCACGGTCCATTTCTTCAGATGTGTTGAAATTATTAGAATTTTTACACAATAGGATTGAAATATTTCACCTTGAAAAGTGTTAGTTGTTTGGGGACATTTAGGCTCAAACATATTTTCACAACCTTCATTCCCAAAACCTGTGAGGGAGAGTTCCAGTTGCTTCCTTCGTGTTTTCAATCAATTTCAATCCACTTATGGCATCTGGCTGGGTACCACAATGAAGTTTACCACCCTTAATATATAGCACAATTTTAAAACCAAATTACCAGAGTGTTACAATACACCCATGAGACAAGATCCGTCCATCCGTTATCTAAACCTGCTTATCCTTGCAGGGCAGCAGGGGGCTGGTGCCTCTCCAGCTGCTTCTGGGTGAGTCGGTTACATCCTGCACAGATCACCAGTCGATCCCAGCATGAGACAAGATGGAAAACAATATTGTGTTTGAGAGAACAAAAGAGGATTTTAATAAAACTTTGGGGGGAAACTAAAATGGTTAAGAAAGACTGGAAAAGGTGCTTTTTTGACAAATTAAAAAAAGCTAAATAAATCTCAAACATTGTGGAATTATCAGGCTTAAATTTGACCCATCTAAATGTTTTTACAATTTCAAGAAGTGAATAGATTTAATCCAGATTCCTTAAAATCCGTGGAATATCTCCTGTGCCAAATTCTGCCCATATTACCAAGAACAACATGGTAGAAATGATTGTTCTGGAAAATTTGCTGTAATTTATGGAACCCTAAATTCAAAGCATCAGACGGGTATGAAATGCTAAAAGATCTTAGCAATTTAATGATCTTTAAAAAACAGATTTTACTGACCTCTGATATTAAAATGAGTTTCATAATTCAAGACAATTATAGTGAAAAAAAAAAGTTAAAAAGTTTTTGTTAATTTTGCTCAAATTTTCTTGTGTTGACATTAGAATCTTTTGTATGTATTTTTTAAAAACTTATTTCTTTTTCAGCTTTACCTTAATAATTCCTTAATAATTATTGACATTTGTCAGAAACTCATCTCACAGCATCCCTGATGTGAACCACTGAATTAGATCACTACCTTATAATGGTTAAAAATAATTTCAAAATAATTATAAAGGACTTTGATCGTTGCACAGATCCTGTGTTGCAGATATCAAAGCAACAATGGGGATTTCCTCTAATAGCTGCAAAATGAAAATCTAATGAAAAAAACACATTAGCTTTATATTAATTAAACACCACCAGGAACCAGCAGCTCATGCTAAGTTTAAATGCGTTTTTCTGTGACAGCGGGGAGTTACCTTAATTAAATCAGCATATAAATGTTCAACGTTAATGCATCTCTAAGTGTGTGGAGCATCACTAACTACTTTTCTGACCTAGTTTCCTTCTCTCATTTAGAGCAATGTCAGCTAAGTTCATGAACACTTGCTGTTGCTTGGCTGCTCCTGCTGGGTTTGGTACATACAATATTCAATACACTGAATACAGTTCAATTATTTACAATAAAATGTCTGGGTGAAAGGATGAAAGCTTCGCTCTCTTGGTCACGGTGCAACCGATACAAACAGATTTTTGATGCTGAAAAAAATCATTATTTTAAAAACTTATGGAGACACACGCTTGTAAATAAATGTATCAGTATTATGAATACTTTATTTATCTTGCAACATCTTAATCTGAGCAGACAGACAGTAAGCAAAAGGAGACACTACGGCTATTCTTAAGCAAATAAACAGATGCAGCCACGGACAAATATGAATGAGACAGGATACACATTAAAAATAAAAACCCATTTAAAAGCTGCAGTTGCTGCACTTAACCCAGAACCACTGTGACCTTTATGCAGCCTGTCTGACACAGTGCTACCAGCTCACCAGTCTAACTAAAACTGGGTCAGTAGGTTTAATCCCTCTTTGGATGCCAGTCAGATTTTAAAGTTAACAAATTGTGAGCTGCAGGCACCAAACTGTATGCTAAAAATACAGTTTGCCTTTTCTATGTGCTGAAGCTGGTGGCAGGATGGTATCTGACTTACTTCCAGAATTTCTCTCAGAAATCAGGAACAGGAAACTAAATGTGAGGAAAGCAGCAGCTGAATTAGCTCTGGGCAATTCTGCAGTCGAACTTTCCATTATTCCTAAAATGTTGATTAACTTGATTAGAACATATTCA